ATAGATGCGGCAAACAAGTAGAAGAGGAAGAAGAAGAAGCAAAAATGGTGTACATCATTTCGCCGCATGATTTTGATGGCTCGTGTACCGTTCCGGAAAATTGATTAAATAGAAAAAAAGAGCAATAACCCTTAAGGAAAATATCACGTAAAGCGGAAAAAGAGTGAACATTTTCGACTCATCGAATAGTACAGCACAGCACAACAAAACACATCGCCGCACATTTTCACAATACACTCTCATACATATACACACGTTTAAGCATTACTCATACTGGAGCTATTAATGTTGTTGTGTGTCGTTTTTTCGGCTCTCTTCGTTATTCCGGCACAAGTGATAAAATAACACGACTCAAAATGGAACGTCATGTGATGTAACTAAGACAGAAACAACCATCAATGGCTTGTTGCATAAAATCCGTTTTGGCACACGTTTTCAAAATGAAAAATTACATTTACAAGATTAAAACTGACTCATGTTGATATTGCTGCTGATGCTCTATTCTTTTTCATTCTCTCCTCTGAACGCAAGAGCTTCCGTAAAAGAGCATCAAAATCATTTTCATGACTTGAAAATTTCCTTTTTTTCTCTGTCTCTCTGTGTTTATGCCAAAAAGTTAAATTTTCAACTAGAAAATGATTCACCATCCTTATTAATTCTGTTTAATCTGTTAAATTTTAAATCTGTACAAAAGTCATTACAATAGCAGAAATACGACTTCAAAAGTGGTCTTATATAACAGACCAATGCTAAACCGATATCTTCACTGTTTAATTCTTCTTCTTTTTTTCATTTAAAATACCGAACGGTAAAATACAATCAAATGTTCGAACTAGTGAACGCATATTTGATTTCATGGAAAAATGGGAGAAAGTGTCTGCACACGCACAGTAGGATATAAGATTTCAAAATTTGGTAGCGCACAAAAGCAGCAGCGGGAACAGCGACAACGACGACAACCGATGGCGATGGCAATCATCAAGAGTCGAGAGTTGTATATGGGCGAGGGTGGAATGGTTTAGAGTGTTTTTTTTTTTGCTCTTTCATCGGGCAAAAATGAAATGGAATCGTAATTTATAATATGGAAATAGGCGAATGCCTAACAGAAGTATCCAAATCCATTGAGAATGATTGTTGCCTATTGTTTTCAAGCTAAGCCGCTCTACGGCTTACGATGCCTTTAAATGAATTTTCACTCAGTCACACACTCAATCGCTCTGTGTTTCTCGCTGTGTATATGTAATCGAAATATCGGTTTTGTCGATACCAATTCACTGTCCGCTGGCAATATCTAACCAAAAACGAAATGTTGTTAACCATTGTCACACAGTGTGTATGTCAGTGTCAGTTTGGCAAGCGAGAAAACGCACCAGTCAAGCAGAGGCAAAATGGAATAGAGAGAGAAACCGAGCCGCATAAATAAATACAATTTCCAAGCATTCAAATCGAATGCCGAGTGAAATGACAATAGTAATGGAAACCGATTCTGTAATATGAATCCGCGAAAAAGGATCCGCAGGCGATAAAATAACATGAGCAAACACCACACACATACACATCCCAAAACTACAAGCACATCACACAAAATGGCACGAACCCACAACCGAACTAGAGAAAGAGAAAAAAACAAACGGAATAAATTGGATAAAATAAATATTGTTTTCATCTTGATCGAGAAGAGCATACAATAATTTTTTTTCTTCTTCTTCTTCTTCTTCTTCTTCTTCTTCAGTTGTTCTTGCTCTCGTTCGGCGTGCATGTGTGTGAGCACATCTTCTGAGCGCGCTCAACGTTTCGTATCATCATCATCATCATCATTGCTGCCGCCGACATCGTCGTCGTAGTTGTTGTCGTTGCTTTACTCATTCATTCATTCATTGAACCGTGCACACGCACAATCGCAATCATGCTATATTCAACCTATTCAATCGGGCACTCGAAACATAGAGAATAGTAAACAACGGTGCATATACAATATTGTACATTTGTACCGAGCCACCCACGGTGTATGTGCACAGTGTGTGAGTGCGCGTGTTTGTTTTGAGCGGAGATGGAGACATTTCCAGTGAGAGCCAAAACACTAAAACCTTATTCTATGGAAATTTATATATGTAGCGGGAGAGAGAGATGCTGCGGGGCCAACAGGCAATATAGCGCTAACACCACTCACACTCTCACCACCGCACAAATATTTCCACTAAAAATATGGTAGAAAGAGTGAACACATAAAAAATCAGGATTTACGATGGCTTCGGCCGCTTATTAAAAACCATCCCATGCTAACGAACCGCACTGGGGCGGAGGGTTAACGAACTTACATTACAGTCAGACATTGTTTATGTTTGAATCATAATATGGCGCCTTTTCGGCAAGAAAACAAACAAACAGCGCACCAGCTCACCGCGTCTCACATTCACTCATTCATTCACTCGCTGATTCCATATCTGGCTATCTCAATCGCCTCGTCGTCAACCTTGGAAAAACTGCATCAATTCATTAGGCATTCACGTTCCCAATTTGCCGTGTTGCTGTGTGTGTTTGTGTGTATGTATCGCACTGTACTCATCACCGTGTGGAATATTGTCGCTTGAGGTTGTTTTGTTATTTTCGTCTTTTATGACGGTTTATTTATTTGTTTAGTTTGTTTCCATGTCGGTTATATTAGTCGACAGAGATGTGTTTGCATTTACACCATTCTTTTCGCACATTTTTGGCTCTTCGGCTTCAATTTCCCATTGCATACCATCACAACTACCCACCCCCACACGACATTCGACACATTTCATTTTCTCTCACTCATTTCGAGCAATTGCTTTGCTTAATTTTCTAATTTGGCTCACTATATATCTTGCTTGTAACGGATTGATGAGAGACAAAATCTTCCACCTGGCTCATTTCGCGTACCAGATTGAAATGAACGAATTGCTACGAAACGAACAAATTAGGAACGGCTGAAGAAAAAAGAAGCCAAACACAGCAATGCTGACGACGATGAAGAAGAGGTAGAAGAAGCAGAACCGTAATGAAATAGGCAAAAGAGCGAACAAATGGTTCAACACTCGAAGTGAGCATTGGATCAGAGGCACATAAAGAAAAGAAGAATAAGACGTCGGAATAAAAAAAAACAGCGAAGATGATGCGAAAGTTGTGAGACGAAAGAAAATGATGATATGGAATGTTCATTAAGCGTTAACATGAAACATTCGCATTAGTTTTTCCTAAGAACTAGCGCGTTTGAATATGCGTGAACTACATGACAATCAAATGCCGTTCTTATTTGATACTTGAAACTCGTTGTCTCGGCGTGTGATAAAGACAGAGAAATACGTCTCTTTCTTGAGATTGCTTGCCTGCTCTCTCTCTCTCTCTCTCTCTCTCTCTCTCTCTCTCTCTCTCTCTCTCTCTCTCTCTCTCTCTCTCTCTCTTTCATTAACTCACACACACACTCTCTTCCACTCTCACGCTCCTGTTCCACACTAACTCGAAAGAATTCTGCAACGTTTTACTTTGCTTCTTTGTTATCTCGCATACTTTGTTTTAATTGCATTTGGGAATGATGCTGCTGTTTTTTGCTCGTTCTCACTCGCATTTTATATATATCCTGCTTACTCTCTCTCTCTCTCTTTTCTTATATCGATTGTTGGTTAAACGATAAACAACGCATTGCCACCGAAACGAAAATGCGCGGCCGAAAGCATGAAAGGAAGAAACGACCGAAAATACAACAAACTTCGAAGGAATTTCCGAATAAAACGAAGGATTCAAAGTCAGTTTATGCTTCGATGCACATGGACACGATGGGTAGGAGTGGTGGAGTAAAAGAGAGATCAGATGATGGTGTGTAGAGAAGTGAAATTACGATAAGAACACACCAAAAACGCGGCAAAATGACGCGGCGCGTCCCATCAAATTAAATCGTTGAAATAACTACGAAAACAATAAATTGCCACAATCAAATTATCACGATTCATTCAACGTGTCAAAATGTGTACCATATTTATTGTTGTGTGCCAGCACCGTGTGCATTTCAAACCTCCGACCAAGACGAAAACGGACGGGAATTTTCTTTATCCAATTTTTAATGCCTGACAACACAGCACATTTATTTTTTCGGATAAATTTTTTTCTTGTTCTATCGAAACGAAAACACACTTGAACAAATTCCGACGGGGAACGAGAACGAGCAAATGAGAATGAAGAAGAAAATGTCTAATTAGGACCAAAAATAATGGATACTTTTTTTGTGTGCAGAAATTCATGTGTTCATTGTGATTTGCGATGTGAAATTGACACTGCCGATGGCCATAAGCTCTTTCATCACCGTAAAAGTATAGTTGATGTGTCGATGGTATGATATCGACTGTATTGATATATATATATATATATATATATATATATATATATATATATATATATACACTTTGGATATAGTTTATTCAAGCCGGAATTACACTGCAACACGTCACACAGCACACGATTTCATTCTATTACGAATCCAATGGGAGCAACAACAAAATTCAACGCTGTTGTATTTATGTGTTGTTGTTGTTGTTGTTGGTGTTCGTTTTTTTCTTCAAATTCTTTCCATTCATTCACGCTCTGACCGAATTTATTGAACTCTTTCGCCGAGATGAACCTTAGCAGTGGCGAGTGGAGTTACCAATGCAAAAAAAATCGAGTTTTGCTGGACGAAAAAAAAAAAGCAAGATAGAAACAAAAACACACAGACACGTTTGTAACATGTATGTGTTGCTTTGACTTTGACTTCGGTGTGTACAACACGAAACGCTAAACTGATTCAATTAAAGTTGATTGTAAACACACTGCTCTATACCTATTCAAACAAACAAACTGAATGAATCGTATGCGAATTATTCGGCTTTTGAATTAAAAATTATTTTGTAAACTTGATTGCTGCTTGTGTATTGATCAACAACAACAAAAAATATTGACAATTGATTATTTTCTACATAGAAATTGGTTGATTTATTTTCTCTCACTTGTAATTCATGTGGTGTTCTTTGAATTCCAGGCAAAGACAGCCAACCAGAAAAAAAGGAACCAACAACCAACAAATCGGGAAAAACAAATTTCTTTTTGTCACTATTTCGCTCACTTTTCGTTTAATTCAAGCATTTAAATCGGAAATTTAGTTGTTTACTACGAACATTTGCACAAAATACACCAAATTTACTTGAACATTTTATTGAGTTTCTTTCTTTGCAAATAAATCGGAACAATTTCCATTGCACATTGTGTTGTTGTTCGTCTTTTTTTATTTTCTCTTCAATGTAAAATATCGTCATCAAAATAATGTTTTTGAAGTTAAAGTTTTCGGAATTTTTGTGGCGTTGTCGTTGGTTGTGTGTGAATAAAATGACGTTTCACATCGATCTGAAGTGACGATTTTCAAAGCAACCCAACTCAATGTAGACGAAAACGGCCAGACACATTGCCGCATGCACGCATTCGTTTGCGCGTGGATGGCATTCAGACTCTGCCGCCTATGTTATTGCTACACACACTCGAGCGGTTGTGTTACCGTGATCACGTGACCTCTTCGCCGCATTCTATGCTCGCTCCATGTGTACCACACATATAGACGTGTACCGTGTTGTAGTCCTCATAACGACGCAACACACATACATATGCGGCGGTCGCTTATCACACACACACACAACATTTCTTCGGAAGCACACCATTCAGCCACCCATACGAAGAGTCAAATGGTAAAAACTGAAGGCAAATGAAAATTCAATTTCCAATATTACATTTTAATTCCATTTTTTAATGAAAATAAAAACTTATTTCTCATTCAATTGATTAAAAATACATTTGTTCCATTCATTTGCTTCGATAACAATCTCTGTATGGCAATGATATATAAATGGGCTCGATATGAGGTGAGCAATGCATTAAAATCCATTGGAAAATGGTTTGCCATCCAGTTTAATGGTACCTACAATGTGTCTCTTTTTGTGTAGTTGAATGAGTTTTGAATGTGAGCGTTGGATAAAAGAGTGCAACGCGCGTTCATCTGCGAATGCATTACAACATGGATGGAGAGAGTGGAGTTGAGTCGAGTCGAGTCGAGTCGAGTGAAGTGGAGTAAAGCGTGCATGTATGAATGAGTGTGAGTTTCACATGCTGCGAAACTGTTTTGGGCTGATATTGTTTTTGTAATGAAAATTATTGACAGTGGTTTGTCGTTGTCGCCCATGTCTGCATTACACAAACGCCATCGACGGGTGTACGCGAGCGCAGAACACATGCCGCACAGACAATGTTACAAAATGTGTACGCTGTATGCTGCTTGATGCTGCTACCATCACTTTCGGCAAGGCGCACACCAATTCGTTTTATAACTATGTTGTGTATATGCAAGGAAATAGCGGGGAAAAGAGTGAACGAACGAACGCGATTGAACGCGGATAGAGCATACCGACAACTCGGGAACGCAACAACACAAACGGATATATAGATTGTTATTGCAAACGATATGACGTTACATGGTTTACCATTCGAAATGAGCGTACGCAAGAAAGAGAAAGACAGCCAACAGAGGAAAAAAAAACAACGGCAACAAAACTCTGTGAAGTGAGAATAGTGAGAATACAGAAAAAAATTCTCTTCTTCTACTCACGATTACGATGCGCACGCAAAACAACAAATCTCTTCACCATACATCCGCTGGAGAGTTGGCGGCTCGTGCGATATAACTTTGAAATATCATATCAAATGGAAACTGCACAAAAAGTATCCTTTTTTCCCGTTAAACATTTGAATATGTTGTTTCTTTTCGTTGGTTTTGTTGTTGTTGGTTGCGAGTTCAATGAGTTTGAACATGGTTTTTGTTGTTAATGTTTTTGTTGTTGCTGCTACTGTTGTAAATATTGAGTGCACATACAGTTGATGCGCTGAAATTGGCTCTTAAATGAAGAGCTCACGAAATGCTTCATGTCTTGTAATTGCAGAAAAGTTCTGTTGATTGAAATATGTGTGTGTAGTGTGTACACTGTGTACATGTGTACATGTGCGCATATTTGTACAAATAACGCCGTCTAAGGGGACATTTTTCGAATACTGTGTAATAATAGCAGACTACATTTTATTTTCTCTAACAAAACCATAAATATTTGTATTCGCTTTTCATTTTGGACCGGTTCCATTTTGGCCAAGATGTTGTTGATCCGCTTTCAATTAGGTCATAGATAAATATGTCTTTATTTATATCATTCGGTTGTATGTGCATTTTGCGGCCACACAATTACATCCAGAAACCATACGGAAGGATGAGAGAGAGAGAGAGAGAGAGAGAGAGAGAGAGAAGTTTAACGACTTGTCTATTTGCGGGACGGTAAGCGAGCGTATTTCAGAGCTCATCTGTTTTGTATTGGGCTCGTTCGAGCGTATGACATCCAAATAGATACAATCAAAGATGATTTGTTTGAAAACCTTTTTTTTTTGTTTTCTGTTTTCATTCTGTCTTCCTCCTCATGTCTCATCTTCTCTATGGCAACACATAGTGCTTGTTTTGTTCGTTTTTTTCGGACGGGCTTTTAATTACTTGTGCTCAGTTTCACTGACAAGTGACCATTCGAGAAAATCATCGATCTCATTTAACAAACTGCTGCGAAAATTACCAATCGAATACATACATATATCAAACGCCATACATATGGTATGGTTGTGTGACGAATTTCGATTAATTTATTTGAAGTGGGCATTTTTCTGTGGAATGGGGCTAGTGAAAACGTGATCGAACATCCTTCCTATTAGGATTGTTAATGCAATCGTTTGTCCCGTTGAGAGTCGTTGTCGAGGTTTGAAAGCGCGAAATGCGTCGTCCAGTTTGTTTTACCATTTCATCCCAATATATATCTGATGCGTACCGAAAATATATTCGAAAAAATCTGTCATCGCAATCCGTTGGAAAACGCGCCTATGTATGGTATATACACATGTGTGTGTGTATATATATCAATGTAAATTGTGTGCTTGGCCTCAGTTGAAGCTTTTACGCCATGCGAATAAGCATCAACAGCAATGTCGTCATACACACGATACCAAAACAACATCAAAACTTTCGATTCTCTCATATCTATGCGAAATTGTGTGGGAGAGAAAGGGTGAACCAGAGAGATGAGGGAAAAACGAAATATTCAATGCACGTTTCTATAATATTTATACACGAATATTCGATGAAAGTGTATTAAACCATTCATCAAATGCAGCAGCAGCAGAGAGCACAGCAGCAACGACCACTGAGCGTGAGGAAGGGAGAGAGAGAGAGTGAGCGCAAAATGGCACAAAAAATAACCACTTCCTATAGTAGAATTTTGCTTCGTAACCCGAACGAAGAATGTGAAGCGCCAGGCTAAAAGCCATTCTCCAAACTTCTTCGATTGGGACGTATCAAATGGTCCATCATTTTATAAATGAAACTTTTTTTTATATGTATTCAACTCCCAATCGCTTTTGGCCAAAACGATACACACGGAATCGAGAATACGAAGAGTTTCACTTTGAACATTACGTGACGAAATAGTTCACATACTAAACGGTCTTAATTCTCCAGAAGCCAATTCAAAACATTTTAAAATTGGGCCAAAATGTGAACACGCCGGTTCATTCATTGAGTTGAAAATTTCGAGAAACAAAAAAGCGCTCGGTTCTCCATGCGCCTTCGTTTCCTTCAAACAAACAAGAAATAAAATCAAAAAAAAAAAATTCCATCAAATTCGCCACCAATTTACGATTTTATTGCCAAAGTTGAACCGTCAACAAACAGCTGTCTCAACTCTCTTTGAGTTCTCGTTTCGTCCGAGTGGAAGTCAAGGCTTTGAAAAAAAAAACAAATGCATCCAATAACAAATAACAATCTCAATATAGAAGAAAAACAATTTTTTCCACATATATTATTTTAGTATGTTGAATATTTTTTTAATGAAATTTTTCTTGGACATCGGAATGATGCGAAAAATGTATTGCAAAATAACTCGTTTGACCGCTTCAAATCGAGAAAACAATTTACATCAATTTTCAGAATCTTTGCGAATTAGATCGGAACAATTTTAATCATTTTGTACATTGGAATTTCTACTACAAACCCAACTTACTTGGAATTCTCTCGTAATCTCCAAATTTACTGCGTCCCTTCATTTCTCCCCGCTTTCTTAAATTCAAATCCAAATGTATGACGAACACTTTGGTACAGCTCATTTCCCATGTATTTGATGTACTTTCTAAAAAGTGCATAAAAATCTAGTGAAAATCATTTGAAATCAATCACACAAGAAACGCGCACGCTACTTGAGATTGATTTCGCCAAGATTGTATAAGAAAACGAGTCTGGTTCTTTCAACAGAACGTGCATTATCCGATAATGACATGCACGTTTAGTGAGCAACGACGACGACGAAGACGACGCTTGCAGCAGCAACAGCAGCAGCAATAAACGATGGCAGAGGAAAAACGAGTACAGCTTACATATTCCGACAACGCTTCGCATGAATTACTGAAAAATGTCAGTCAGTGCAATTTATCTACGGCATGTAGTTGTGTGTATGTGTGTGCGGCGCGGATTACACTGAAATTCATATAGAGCTTTGATGTCTGATTTGCATATGATTAAAATGTTCTCCTTTTCCTCAGAAGCATTGGCCATTTTTTCATTCCTTCTTTTTTTTCTTTTTCTCTTCTTTGCTCTTGGCATTCACTCACTGCATTTATCATTTAGAAAGTTTTGACTCGGCATGTGAAATACCCGAGCATAAGTTACACTTGAAATTATCGTTTAGTGTGCTCATTGCTCGCGAGAGAGAGAGAGATAGAAAACGAGCAACGATTAATGAAAATCAGCTACCCCATTTCACATGCAAACGTTAAGTTTTATTAATTTTGTTGCGTTGCTACTTTGTGGTGGATGGATATTGGCTTTGTTGGATTCGCTGCTCTTATTATTATTATTTTTTTGTTCCTAAGCTGGCGACACGAAATATTAGATTGCAGCAGTTGTTTTGGCACCGGCCCGCGGATATCCGAGCAGGATGAATAGGATAGAATGACCATGGACAAACAATAACTAGAACCAGCAAAAGATTCCCATTTCAAAAGCCATTGACTACAATTTATGAATGTTAATTTAATACATTATGAAATTCGAGCGCAATTGTTAGCCAACACCGGTGCTAAAATATACAGTAGAGGGTGGAGGATGCATGTTTGCTTGCTTGCTTGCAATGATTGGATGGTTGGCCCAGCATACACAGCAGTGATAATCTGAAAATTTCCCTTCAATCGGAATGTTTATAATAAATAAAGTGCAAAAATAAAATGAAAAAGAGCAGATAGATAGAAAGAGAGTGAGTGTTTACGGTTCGCTCAGCAGGGGCCTGTTGCACAGTACTGTTACAATTTTTGTAAATTGTAATTGTAATTGTAAATACAATTCGTTGTAAAATTGTATTTACAATTCTACAATAATTGTAAAATTGTATTTACAATTGTATTCACAATTTTACAATAATTGTAAAATTGTTTTTCAATAATGAATGTGACAGTCAAA